AAGTACCAATGTGACTTTTTCCGTGTTATATGTATGTACTTTCTTAGGTTATTCAGACACCACTGACGAACGGCGAAGGAAAACATCGTGAAGAAACCTAAGCTTATAATTTCTAATAATAAGTTTAAAATTGTCAACCCGCATTGAGCTAGCGTGGTGATTAATGCTCAAACCAAATCCGTGTGAGAAGAGGCTTTTGATCAGCAGTTGACACTTATAGGCTTTTTTTCAAAATTCAAATTCAAAAATTATTTATTTGCGTAAATAAGGTACAGATAGTTGTAATTTTGTAATAACTTACGTCCTCTTATTTTGCCTTTAACATCGGCGTGCAAAAATTATGTAGATACTTTACAGACTTGTCAAAATTTTGTTATAGGTACTCTCATGGAAATTACAAATTTTCAATTAAAATAATAGTTTCAAAATTAAAATAATGAATTTTATAGAAGAGAAAATGTCACAAAATTAGCCCAAAATGTCATAAATGTCACACACAATATTCTATAAATGTTACATTACAATTCACAAACCATTAAATATTACAATTTATAATCTAAATACTCAAGCACACTGTAAAAACATTTGTCAATTAGCAGGTTTCTTAAACCTCGTTTCAATTTATGAAAAGGTAGTGCCTTAATGGAATTTGGAACTTTGTTATATAATTTAATGCACATAATGTAACTGTTATTTGATGTGAGTGTGAGATTTGTTTTAGGTCGATATAATTTGTTGGCATTGTGAGACCGTGGAGCGTAATAACTTGCCGGATTCTCAAAGAGTTGCTTATGCTTAAAAACAAATATACACGACTCGAAGATGTAGAGGCAAGGCAAGGTTAAAATTTTGTATTTTCTAAAGAACGGGCGACAGGAATCTATTTGCTTCAACCCGAATATCGCTCTAATACACTTTTTTTGCATTATAAATGCTTGTTCTATCTCAACACATCGACCCCAAAGAATAACCCCATATCGCAATATGGAGGATATGTATCCGTGATACGCAGTCATTGCGGCCTCTCTCGATATTTCACGGCTGATACGTCTCAAGGGATAAACAAAACTATTAATTTTACCACAAACATCTTGCACTTGATTCTTCCAAGAGCAGAACTTGTCTAGTGTAATCCCAAGAAATTTTACTGACTCAGCTTCTGACAGAGCTACACCTTTATACATCACATTTAATTCGGCGGGTTTATTCCTGTAGGTATGAAACTGAATGTATTTAGTTTTATCTATATTAACTTTTAGGTTGTTCCCTTCTAGCCACTGTACAGTTGTCTGGAGCACGGTGTTTATTTCTCTCTCATAAGTACTTTTATTCTTACATTTTACGACAATAGTAGTATCATCCGCAAATAATACACATTCGTGGTTTATGACATTTGGAAAGTCGTTAATGTATAGCAAAAACAATGTAGGGCCCAAAATACTACCTTGAGGCACACCGTATTCATTTGTCAAAAAAGAAGAACGATATAGTTCACGTGTTTTGGACATCTCATTATAACTTGAGATCTCCACCGCCTGTGTCCGATCAGATAAATATGATTTTAGCCAGTCGTACGCGTTTCGATGTTGTATTGATATTAACGTCTGCTAGGTCATAAGCAACTGCAATGAGAAAGAAATCCGTAACCATAAAGTCAAAGTCAAAAGCATTTATTTCAATTTATCCTTAATAAGGCTCCGGCTCGAAGTGCAGGAGAAGGAACGGGGTAGTTATTAGTCAGTAAGAGTCTGACACTCCCTCTCGCTTCACCAATGCGGGAGAAGTCATTCGATGATTTTTTCCCCTCTTAAAAAAATGGCGTTTGGCTAAAGGCACTGCAATAGTTAACGTTATTTTTTGCTTAATAACAGCATTTTCCGCGTAACTTCTAAATCTAAATTAACAGTTTATCTTACCATACTCTGCGTACCCTAATTACAAAATAAACAAAGAACATTGGCTACACGCCAACAAAATACAAATATTTATTTCGAACAAAATTGTGTACACGTTTTGCCTAAGGCCCTTGTTAATTCCGATATAAGGAAGGAAAGAAGTAAAATAATAATAATAATGTTTATTTTACAATTTTAACGAAAACATTGCTTGTTATCCATTAAAGGGTTTGTGTCATCCATTTTTTGACTTCTTTCTGAGTTTGGTAATCAATAAGTCTAATTATATTATAGACTAGCTGTTCCCGCGATTTCGTCCGCGTGGAATAGTGATTCACAGCTCCTCCCCCGTAGGTGATAGCGTGATAATATGTAGCCTATATATTGAACCGACCTGTTAGTAATATTATTGTAAAATTGGAAGTGAATCCATACAGTACTTTTTGAGTTTAATCCAGACATACATACAGACAAACAAACAGATAAAATGTTAAAACCCATTATTTTGGCTTCGAGATGTCGATTGTAGATCTCGCCTCAAGCATTATTTATAAAAAATATTCAATTTACAGTTTTCACTTTCCTACGATTTTATTATATGTTTAGATAGAAGATATAATTATATATATATCCTATATACCTTTGTCGCGGAGAACCTAACGGGTAACCGGGGCTCCGGCTCGACGTGCAGGAGAAGGAACGGGGTGGTTTTTAGTCAGTAAGAGTCTGATACT